CGACTCCGGAAACATAGGCTAATGCCTACTGGGACCCGGAGAGCGGCCTTTTCAACATTTTTGGGGGACGAGAGCGTGGGATGGGCAAGGTTCGTCGAGAAGACCAACTTCTTTACAAGGATATGCCCGAGATAATCACAACAAGAAAAAGGAATAAGGCTAGGTCACGAAGCCTAGACCCCGCAATAGCGTGGATGGGCATGTGAGCGGCCTGAATGTAAATAAGACATAGATTCCTCTACTAACCCTGCGATGCATTGGCTCTGGGAGGCGTGGTTTTGCCCTAATGAGGGACGGTCCCCACGTTAAAAATCAATCAATCAATCAACCAAGCTTTTTTAGCCCGTGTTTAAATATCGATTTTTGAACGTCTAACTCTAAAGCTTTTCTGGGCATTGTTAAGGGCCCATTATGGCACTGTTATTTCGTAATACCACACATGTTGGCATTATCGTTAAAATCATGGGCCTTTTTACTACTTAGCAGGCAGGATATTAGTAGTACTCTATTGATACAGAACTCTTAAAGATTTATTCCTAAAGATTTATTCTCCATGCTACAAAATTTTGGAATTTACTTTGACAAATCCTTTAGGTGAGTGAGTCATAGTCCTAGCTGGATGACTTGCTGTTGTTGTTCGATTTTGAGAAAACGTGGCAGGGACAGGTGTACCTACGTGAAAGGTCAAAAGCAGCCCTTTGGCCACTATTGGCTCTATCTACGTAGCGGTGTGTAGCATGTGATCGATGAGTCACAAAGGTTCCTTTTGGATCAAGGCAGAAAAATGGCCTCATTTGTCCGAAAAGATCGCTCCTTGCACGCATTATAGGACTTTAGCATCGGTTATGCCGTCTCCCTCCGATCGCGGACCTCTGCTCAGTCTGCTTACTGACGCCCCACGGCGAAGCAGCCGGCAGCCCAGGTCCCCCTGTGGGAGCACCAGCCATAGTCGGGCCAATTGTGACCACTCAATGAAAGTCCTAAAGTCCAGAAGATGTAGCTCAATGTACCTCACATCGCAGGTCAAGTCAACACGAGTCACTTCTGGACCTGCATTCAACGGCTTCATGGATACACTTTTAAATCTCTCACATTAATCAAAGCAGCATCAGTGGTTTAGTGGTAAAATCCATCGTTGCCATCGATGGGCCCCGTGTTCGATTCACGGCTGATGCATTTATACTTCCTTCTTAACTTCAAGACAGCCATGTCTAGGCAGTCTTCTCTTATTTTTGCCGATATCCTTCCCATGTTGTTCCCTCCAAAATTTTGATGCGGACCCCTCCTTCTCTGAGCGGGGTACAATTGTTTTTTTTTTGCTCCAGTTCTTCTTCTTTCTTCCACTGCGTGTGTGTGAATTTACTTGCACAGACCCGCTCCAAGCAAGGCGGCTCGCTACTCGTAACACGACTTTCGTGCCCGAAGTTTCAAGATCAAACAAAACCTGGGAGTTTGGCCGAGTGGTTAAGGCGTCGTGTTTAGGTAGCGCCGGGTTCTCCCGGCATACTTCAAATCCCGCGATGGGCAACCGCGCAGGTTCGAATCCTGCAGCTCTCATCTTTCGTTTTCTTCGTGTTGTTTATTTTTTTTTTCGTAGGTCCTTGTTCAAAGGCATCGCGAGATAAAAGGCAAAGCAGTGTATGATTGATTGCCTACCTGTATGTAGCCGTTCAAACCCGAGAATGCGTCTTGCAGCACAATGTTCCTAAAATGATAGAGACGGAGTTCAGCTGTACTGCTGCACTCCGTATAAAGTTTAAGAAATATAAACGCTGGCTAAACACCAACATAGCATAGCAGATCCTCCCTTAAGTTATCAAGTGCGTATATAAAAAGGTCAAGTCCGGCCTATGTTTATAACCAGGGTGTTCTCTCCATAACCCAACACGTTACAAAAGTCATGTGCTCATTATTCAATACCGTTTACGCTCTTTGCCGTTGATGTTCTGCCGCCAGAGACAGATGACGCTTTTTCTCTCACACCACTTCTTAACCTCGAGGGGTGACACTTCTCCATCATATCCTTGCCCTGTCAAGGGACCGCCATTCAACCAAGCGGCCAAGTCCTCGAGGATGATAGGGTCGTAGAGAAGCATCTTTTCATACCATGAAGGATTCTCCGGATCCTGGGAGCGTGGTGCTGATGTCACGGCCTTGGTGATATACCTGAACAGCTCGGCCTCTTGATCAGTCGGTGACATGGCCAGAGACATGTCTGCATCATCTGTGATCGAGAGATCTACTGGAGACGGCGAAGAGAACACTGGCTCTGGGGACGACGCGGGTGAGAGGCTGCCTTCTGTAGAATCTGCTATCTCCACCGGCCGGGTATCAGACATTTGTGGGCGGCCGCGCGGCCGTTTGGGGCTTGGTACTGCCGGAGCAGATTTGGCCGGAGGGACTACTACCGTGGCGACGTTTTTATCCTTGCTTGGACGGCCCCGGGGTCGCTTAGGGCTGGACTCGGTTACAGTTGCCGGCTGGGGAGCTGCGGCTTTCGCTGCAGTGGTTTTTTTAGGACGACCACGCCCACGTGGTTGGTCTTTACCCAGGTCTTTACCCAGGTCTTTACCGTTGTCCGCGGTACCTTCTATAGGCTGCCGAGCAGCTGGTCTTGGGCTACGAGCTGATTTTGACATGGACTGAATGGAATCCTGTGGCAATCCCTGTTGTTTACTTGCCCAGCACTGCTTCAGCAATGCGATCATGGCATTACGCTTTTTCATCGGCTTGAAGCCATATGACGTGATTTGCTGGGAGAGCTGAGCGTCTGTGAACAGGTCGTAGTTGGGACAAGGTTGAGTGGACGGCTTTTCGACAGCACCGCCCGTAGCTTGGCTGGTTTCAGTGCTGACAGTCAGCTTACCACTTTGCGGTTCAGGATCGTGAGGCTTATCCTGCCGAGATTCAGGCGGTCCAGGCGAGGTTCGAGATCCAACAAGAGGCGAGTCTAGCAAGTCGTCGATATCCACAAAACTTCGGCCTGCTGATAGAGGCGTCTGATCGCTTATCGCAGGGCCCTGTTGCAAATCAACAATTTCCATTTCCATCAATTCTCCATCCTCGTCACGGGCTCCGGCGTGCCATAAGCGCCTTGGGCTGTCATCGTCATCAAACGGATCCGAGGATAAGTTATTTGATGCACGAATCGCAGCCTGGATATCTCTCAGCATGGTGGGCGACTCCTCGTGCACAAGTTGGCTGGACGTCCCGAAAAGGAAATCTTGGTTTGAAGATTGTTTTAAAGCCGAAGTCGGCGACAACAAGATTGGATTCTTTTCAGATCCAGCCTTCGTCTTCCGCTTCGCTTTGGCTGGTGGCTTTGTCTCCTTCCCTGTTGTTTTCCTCTGAGACATGACTGCGGTTTGATGCTCCACTAGCGCCTTTACAGCCCCGTCGGTATCGAAATAGTTCAACATGGACTCTTTAGTGGAAGGCCCAGCCAGTTCGAGATCAGGTATAGCCGGCACCGCGAAGGGAGCTATGGCTGCGTCTGTGACGGTTCTTGGCTTCTTCTTCTGCGCTGTCGCTTTCGGCCTCGTTTGTTGGTTTTTCTTCAGGGGCACGTTCAGGTCGATGGTAGCTGGCGACTGCTCGCGACCGGCTTCCTTGGCGTTGGATTGTCCGGTAGATACCAGCTCGAGCCGTTGGCGCTTACGAATAACTTCGGTTTCGAATTGTGGACACACTTCTTTTGCAGGCCCCGTATCTTGTCTTCCGTATTGATCATGAAGAGTCTGAAATATTCCCTTTGAGCAATTCGTCTTGCCCGCCGACGAGAAAAGCTCTCGAGCATCCGAATCAGAGTCAAGAATGATAGTTGCGCTGTTACGTGGTGGGGTCCAATCCTTTCGACGGGGCATAGCAGGTAGCAGATTCGTGGAGAGAGCGGCTTCCCCAGATGAGTCCGCAGCCGTCTTTTCGCTCCTCTCCGGCTCCTCACCAGTGGGCTGTTGCGTTGCCTCTGTAGAGAAGTGCCGGGAGACGGTACCTGTGGCCTTGCCTGACGACTTCTTCAAGTTCGAAGTTTTAAGCCTCGGTGGTGACGTGGACCCTCCGTCAGTATCCTCGGGGGCCTTGGTTTTAAACTTCTGCCACGGCTTGTCACTTGGCGATACCGACTCTAGGGTTACGCTCGCGGAGTTCGAAACTTGTTCGTTCGACAAATTGTCAGGCGTCGACGACTTTCTTTTGCGGCTCTTGCCAGGTCTTGATTTTCGGCAAGGCGAGGTCGTAATCTTTTCTGTTTCTATGTCGATTTCGGGTGCATCGCGCAGGACATCAGCAGCGCTAGTGAAAGTTGTGGGCGCGTGACTTCCGGTGCCGATTGGGGGGTTTCGCGCATTCTTGTTGAAAAATATCTCTTCAAGAGTCGGGATGCCGGGGGAAGAGGAGTCAAAAAATGCGAGATCTCTGGTCCGAGATCTAGGGGGGGAAGACATGAACACGTCAGAAGAAGCCATGGCGAAACGAAGCTGACCGAGATGAAGAGAAGGTGCGCGCCAGGCGCAACGATGGAGACGGCTGATCGACAGATTGAAGAGTGTTTGTATCAGAGCTCTTGGGCGTCCTGAGTACTTAGGTTAACCTTAGAACATTATAAATGAATTATCAAGACAGTGAATTGGGTAGATACAGTTGCTGTAGGTGACCAGAGTCTAGCATGGCCAACGTTAACCTGAGGCGCAACTAGATAGGTAGATGACCATTTCCGCCGATTTGTTGGGGGCTAAATGCTCGGACCAGACACGGTCTCAAGTTTATACAAGGGATTGAGCCCCACGGTCCTTACCACGAAACGGACCCGAAAGCAGGTGACTCGCACGTGACCCTAGCCGAAGGGAGAATTGATTGGTACGGGGGTACAAGCCCCACCGCCTGCCTCCCACTATCTCAAACAACCTAACCTTGGGTCAAAATTACAACGAAATTCATCTGCGACGAAAAACCACCACCACCACCACATTCCGACTTACCCAACCGTCCAACTCGCCAAATCGCCAAAATGGAGAACGACCGCGGAGAACTCGTTGATCTTTACGTGCCTGTATGAACAAAAACCGCCTTGATCGCGACAATCTTTGTGTACAGGGGACTAACAGGACCACTCTACAGCGCAAGTGCAGCGCGACCAACCGCCGTAAGTTCCCTCTGTGCTTTTTCCTGGTTCCTCAAGTCACCTCCATATCCTCAATTTCTTGAGAAAATTGAAAAATCGTAATTGCTGACAACCTCTCGCAGTGATCAAGGCCACAGATCACGCCAGTGTCCAGATTAGCGTCCGTCCCCTTTAATCCCCGACCGAACCGAAACAGGAGCCTAACTATTTGTAAAGGTCGCTAGACTCGACGAGAACGGCAGACAAATCCCCGGCGAGAACCACGTGTATGCCCTGAGCGGCTTCGTCCGCGCCATGGTAAATCGACCAACATCTCGGCCCAATCTTGGAACAACTATTTTGCTAAGCTCACTGTGAACAGGGCGAGAGCGATGACTCGTTCAACCGAATCACCCAGAAGGACGGCCTGCTGAAGAACGTCTGGAGCCCCAACCGATAAAGGGGGTTTTTGGTGGATGGTGTGTCATTCTACAAGTGGAGGGGTCTTGCGCAACGGACAATCACATACTCCTCGGGAATCGGCGTTCAAAGGAAAATGCGTGGTTAGGTCGATATGGCAAGGCATTTGGTTTTGCAGCTAGTCGGTAAAGAGATACAGCCGTCCTGATGCGACCCCCCGATACGAAACAATACGAACAAAATCATACCCAATGATCCATAATGGCGCCTGCTATGTTCCTTACCTGATGACGAAAGAGAAAGATGTCCGGTGCCCGGCTAGTCAAGGCTTCTCGCATCTTGCCTGCGGGTGAACTCTATGGGCGAGGAGTCTGGGGCTACTTCGATAGTCTCCGTGCCGTACATGGAGTAGTGGCCTTGAAAAAGCTGTGATGCTCGAGCCGTTCATCATGGCACAGATACGGGTCATACAATCCAGATTAAGAGTAAATACGGTCTACGAAGGAGTCCGTCTCCCCTTGACCGACTTTGTGGAAACCGTGTGTAGTCTGGTGGCTTCGCGGTGGGTGTCTCTCCTTGCCGACATGAACAGCTTGGTTGTGTCTACAGCTCTCTCCAGAAACAAGGAGCCCATCGTCCTTGGAAGTGTCAATCATACTGAGTAGTGTTGCGAAGTAGTGTTTCTGATATCGAGCATTTTGGAAATGATTGCCTGCCTTCCCTAATGTTTTGCAAATGCTAAGGCTTGCAAGCATTGAGTTCGCTTCCGGTCCCATTTCCCTCCTACTCGGTGCACAAGTCAGGTGTGTGACCTCCAGTGTACAGTTGGCAATGTTATGATACGTTCGTTTGTACTTATTCGGACCCTACCGGTTCGGAGCAAGACAGTGTCGAAATATCTGTGGTAGGTGGTTGTGGCATTGCAACCATTTTCGAAAAACAGACAACAGTCAGTAGGCAATAGTATGCCTTTGATGTTCAACGGGCTTCTGTTGGACTCTGTATGCCAGGTAAACATGTCTCATAAGTGTGGCTTGTT